AACCAGAAGAAATGCAAGATAAGTCAACAAATGATCAGAGAACAGTACAAACATTGCTAGAACAAGAAAGAGAGAAAAATGTAGAAATAGGAAAGCAGACTGGCATGCTAATTTCTGAGTGTAGTGGGTTAGGGACACTAATTATAGATGAAGAAAATAGTCATCGCATAGTTGCTGATGGCAACTTGTCATTACATGATCAGGATTCAGACAGTAAAGAAGTATCAAGAGATGGTCATAATTTGCTTAACTTAATTGCTCAAAATTCATTACCAGTTGTTGAAGGATTTTCGTGTAGTGAAAATATGGGATCGACTGTATTTGAAGATGAATTTAGCCAACCAATTGAGGGTACTAAATCTGTGATGAGAGAGGAGATTTACAATAATGAAAAAAACACAGAAAGTAAAGAATCATTACTGGATGTCCAGGAGACAAATGATAATGAAAAAGATGATCTTGATATGGAAAACTTTACAGCAAGAGTAAATGTTGATTGCCAGTGGCAGGATTTGAATTCAGTAGATGAAAAAAGGGCAGAAGGTAATGAAGAAAGGCATGCTCAAAAAGTTGAAAAACACCACCAGAGAGGCTTAGATGTGAATGAAGGTGGCACCAGTATGAAAGGATTTGAATTTGAAGGTTTTGTGAAGGTTCGGAAAATTGAAAGAGAAATAACCAAGGCAGTTAAAGATGATATTTGTTCTGAATCGGTGGACTGTCTTGTACAGAAACAAGCCTGCAAAGGTGTGCCCCAATCAAGTGGAGTGGAAGAAAATACCTCTGACTCATTATTGCAGTCAAATGTCACAAATATTTCTCATTCGCAGGTGAAGATGACCTCTCTGCTTACGATATCAGGAGCCCTAGGCTGCAAAAAACAGCTTCTCATTGTACCACGTTCATATTTAACTGTGGAATTGGTGATGGCAGCCATTAGCCTTGGAAAATTTTCTTACAAAGATATTCACTCTTGGGTTTGCAAAATATGTAGACCAGTAAATAGAAACTTCACAGAAGTAAACAGAAAACAGTTTATGCAGTATGAACTATTACACAGAATCATCTCTAAAAGTTGCGATGCAAAAAGGAGGAGTCATTGGGAAGAAATACTTAGGAAGACTTTATATGTATTGCCTAGAGGTGAGGGTTGGTCTTTGATCTTTGAAAAGATTCCAGATATTTGCCAGGATTTGGTCACATGTGATTCAGGGTTTTCCAATATTACAAAGAAAAAACCTGTTGCATTCTTTAAGAAGTATAGAAGTAATACACCAGAAGAGAAACTTGAACTTGTGGTGAAAAAGCTTCAACAAAAAAGCACACAGGTAAAAGTTCTAAAAGGAAAGCAAATGTCAGCAAGTAGAGAATTGAAAAACATGAAGGAGAAATTGCAAGAAAAAATAAATGGACTTAGGGCATTTATAAAAGTTCATGGAGGCAGAAACCCAGACTCATACTTAAAACCAAGCAGTTCCAAGAACCAGAAAGCAGAGAAAAATTTTATCACTGAAACTGAAGAGGTTCTTGCTAACCTTTATGAACTGGTAGGGAAAAAAGAAATGAAGAATGGTGAGCTTCAGCAGGAAGTGGCAGACCTTAAGGTTGTGATAGATGAAAAAGACAAAGTGATTCAACAGAAAAATAAACTTGGTTGTAGAACAGAGGCAAAGGTTGTGATACCAATTGAGAGCAGGAGTGAAAAGAAGCAAAAAGATCATGTGTTGCAGATTAAACACCTTCAAGAAAAATTGAGAAAAACTAAGGAATTGGTCAGCTATGAAGAATTATGCAGTAGTCAACTAAGGGAAGAACTAAGGACTCAGAGACAACTTTTAGGGGAAAGAGATCGCATGATTGCACACAATGAAAAGAAAATAGCAGATTTAAAAAGTGATGCAATATCTTGCAGATCTTTTCATGGTCAACTTGAACATAAATTACACATTGCACATTGTTCACTGCAGGAACGAGATGTATATATTAGATCTTTAGAAGACCAATACTATGGAGTCAGCCAAGATTTGAAAATGGCCAATTTCAATCTACAGGAGAAAATTTCTGTCATTCAGCAACAGCAGAACCTCCTTGATCAACAGAAAGAAAAGTATCATTGGAGTTCTATTGATAATCAGAAAAATCAAAGTAAACAGAATGGAAATGAATTGGTGAACCATTACATGGAAGAATATAATAAACATTTAGCAGATTTGGAGAACAGATTGATTCAGTGCAACAATATTTTGAGTGAAAAAGAGAATTTCATAAAACAGCTACAGAAAAATTTCTCAGACTATCAGGCTTTTGTTAAGGAGAGAGAGTCTCAGCTGGCAGTAAGTAGAATCTGCCGAAAATGTTCTGAGCCTGCCAGCAAGTTTGACTGTGAACTTCCAAACAGTTCTTGGGTCCAGTCGTCAGATGAGAAAAATCCCACAAAAGGTGAGTTGTTAGCGAGGAAAGATGAGAAACTGCGTAGTGCTTATAAAAGGGTACAGGAATTGCACGGAGAAGTGGAGTACCTGGTAGAAAGGACCAAAGCTGGGTCTTCAACTAGTGATCTAAAAGAAACGTTGGAAATGAAGAGGAAGAATGCTGCTCTTCAGCAATGCATCATAACACGCGAAGAGATGAATGCGCAGTTGGAAGAAAAATTGAGTGTGCAGAATAAAGAGCTTGCACATTTTAAGGAACAGTTACAGACAAAAAGTACCATCATTGAGTACTTACAAAATTTCATTATTGATAAGGAACCTATAACAGTAAATACTGATATTGAGAATGTAGGAATCGCTGGTAACACACAAGCTGAAAATAAGGCAAGTGGTAATTGTGAAAGAGACAGAAATAGAGATTTTCTTGGGTCAGATCCAGTTCATTCACCTCTAATGAAAAGCAGTGTAGGACAAGTTGAAAGTCAAAGCTGTTGCAGCAATCATGAGCATGCCATGAATAGCCCTCAGGTTGGAGAATATTCAAAAGTTCAACAAGGAGTTCTTACTACCCAGAAAGAAATAAGTGCACCTGATAAGAACGACATAGGGATTTATCAAAATAAGACAGACACAGAGACTGGGTCATATTGTTCTTACAAAAACAGAGAAAGCACCGGTATTGCGAGTTTGTTTGAGGAAGTTCCTCAAGCAGAAACCAGAAAAACCTTCAAAGAAAATGTTGGCAGTTACAGTAACAAAAATGTGGGCAGCCAGAAAACTACAAATTTACACGGAGAAAGTCAAAGTTATTCAGGTGTTGTCACTTATGAGAAACATTGCAACACCATATCTGAGTCTTCCAAATTAATGCAAGGCCAGAAGACAAGTGACATCACTTTGGAGCATAGAAGAATGAATTTGGAAATTAATATGCCAGAGAACAGTGAAAAACAGTTTGTGAACTGTGATTCTAAAAAGGGAATATGTGATCAGCTACCTAAATGTGAGCAAGGTAGAAATATAGAAGCTGCTGATGGTGAAAGGAAAACTTTTGAAGAAAAGGAATCAAAAGAAACAGAAAAGCCTTCCCCAGTAAAAATAACATATTCAGAATATTGTATGAGAAACAAGAACAAAATCTTTCCTCTTTCAACAAGCAACAACAACAATGAAACTGTTGTAGGACGGGAAAGGTTATATTCTAGTGAAAATATATCACAAGAGAGTGGATGGCATGGAGACAATTATTCAAATATCACTCGAGAGAGAAAACATCAAAACTTAGAAGCTGGATATGGTGAAATGGGCAGGAAAAGAAATCTATCGAAAGAAATGACTCTAGAAATTGAGCAGACAAACAGTAAGGATAGTAAACGCAGTAAATTTGATGTTGACAAGAAGGGTAAAGTTTTGCTGGTTAAAGAAAATACTGCAAAAATATCACCAAGGATTCCAGAGGAGAGTAAAACAAAGAAAATAATTAATTCAGGAAATAGGCAAGTCAAAAGCAAAGATCCTTTGGAAGAAATCAGAAAACTGAAGAAGTTCATAGAGGACTTAAAATACAGAAATGAAAAGGCCTTGACAAAAGAGATTGCAAGAAGAGTGAAAGTAGAAACTGTTTCTAGAAAAAGAGAAATTGTTTTGGCACAGATCTTAGAACAAAATCAGAAAATGAAGAGGCAGGTAAAGGAAAGCGATGTTGCACTCACATTAATTGAAAGAGAGAGGGAAAGGGTTAATCAGCTCTTGTTGGAGAATGAACGTGCACTAGTTGAAGCAGCAAGAACCAAGGAAAAATTCTCCAGAAGTCTAGAGGAAAAAGACAAAGCTCTGGAAAACAACCAAAAAGAACTAGAGGATTTTAAAGTGGATTTAAAAAGAAAGGTAAAAACTCATGAAAAAGAAATTGAGAAGTATAAAACTGATGTTTCAAGTATAGAGAAGGAAGTAGGTACATTGAAATTATGTTTGGCAAAGAGGGAGGAATTATATGAAAAAGAATTTGCAGCAACCAATGAAATTATCAAAGAGAAAAAGAAAGCTTTGGAGAATTTACTCAGTGAAAAAAGCTGCCTGTGTGGAGATATCAGAAATAAGGGAGAAGAATTACTGTCAGTGAAAGAAGAGGTAATGAAGCTTAGAAATTCCTTAATAGAACAAAGGGAAGAACTTTCTGTTTACCAGGTAGGAAATAGTCAAGAAAATAAGGAAAGGACAAATAGCCTAATAGAGGCTATAATTACAGACGAGAGAAAAAGTCTCGGTGGAGAAAAACACAGTGCCCAGGCACTAAGTCTTGAGGAAGCAATTGGTAATCTTGATTGCATCATACAGGACATCAAGGGTCAGCTTGCATCACTGAAGGAGGAGTTATCTAAAATAGATGCATATAAATTCAATCTGATACAGGATATGATGGGAGAGAAAGAAAGTCTACAGAATGCTTCAAAACTACAACAGGAAAGGTTAAATGAGACTGTAGCAGAACATGAAAACTGTAGAACAAAAATAGAGGCCCTAAGTGAGTCACTAGCTTCTGAGGCAGAGAAGTCAAAAGAAATGTTGGAAGAAGCACAGAATAAGATGGAACAAAAGGAACAGGAAGCAGAGAGACTCACTACATTGAAAAAACACCTAGAAGCAGAACTAGAAACAAACAAAAAGCATTACACATTACTGATTGAAAAGGAAAGTTATTGGAAGCAACAGCTAAGCAATGCTCAAAACTGCATCGAAGAACTAACTGCTGCAAAGAGTTTTCTTGCACAGCAGTTACAGGCTATTGATATATCTAAAGAACAACTCAGAAAAGAACTTAAACTTGGAATACCTAAGCAAAAAGTGTGGAACTTAGACCAGGAACTAACAAAAGTGTGCGACTTGAAAAGACAACTGGATGAAGAAAAGAAAAAGAGCTTGGGTGTGAGTCGCCATTTGTTGGAGGAGAAGAACAGAAACAAAAACTTACTCAGAAAACTTGAGAGAAAAGAGAATTTGAAAAACACAGACCAGCCAACTCTCTGTACCAGTGAAAGTCAGACAACCAGTTCCCTTGAGGAAGAAATGCATACCATTTTAGAAAATAACAGAAAAGTCCAGCTTACTTTGGAAGCTGAAAGACAGGTATCAGAAGATTTCTACAAAGAGCTGGTGCTAGAGAAACGAAAGAATGCATTTCTAAATGACTGCTTCAAACATGAGTGCACAGAATCTTCAAAAGACATGGAGCACCAGCTCTCCTTTTTTACTTGGATGGCTGACAAGTATCGTGCCAGGATGCGCAGAATGGATGAGTTGTCAAGTACAATGCAGGAGTTTACAGAAAATTTGGAAGACCAGTGAAATTATATTATTTCAGTATTCAGAAGTGCATGAAGTATTTTTGTAACTGATTTTGCACTAATTATCAAAGTTCCTATATTTTCATGTGAAACTATGTTAGATTTTTGTTAAGAGGATTTCAATTGTTGCAATTGTTTAATAGTGGAATTATGTTTTATAATGTAATATAACATACATTTGATAAAGAATGACTAGTTATTGATGGTCAAATTCTGTGACCTCTTCTCCCTTTTTAACTTCTCCCCACTCCCTCTTTATTTTCTTGAAACCTTGTCTTTTCTATCTTGTCATTCCCTTCTCTGTCATATATACCATCAAAGATTTATGAAACTGCATTCATGAATGATGGTAATTAAGATGTATAAAAGTAATGTTTTTGTTGCCTTTTTATACTACTTAAGTATATATTTAGAAAAAATATGGAGTATATAGGTATGTGTTAAAGGAAAGGAATTTGGCCAAACAGTTGTTAATGACTTTTTTAGGTGTTGTATCTTCAAGCGTTTTTAAGCCAAGTTTTCTTTATTTTTGTATTTGTTTTCTTGCAAAATAGACATGAAAAGTTTTATTTCTAGCTTTCACTCTTTGTCTTAAAGTGTCAAGTTGCTCATTTTGGACTATTTGTTCGTCAAAATGATATGATTTTCTTGTGATAGCTTTGACACTGCAGTTTTCCAGTGTTTTTTCTTCTTCTTAAAATTAATGATTGAGGTAAGTTATGCTAAATTGTTTTTTCTTGCTTCTGTGAATAACTTTTTTTGGAAGAATTCAAGGCATATTGAAAAAAATGAATGCCATTGTGTTAAGCTGTCATGGCCTGAACTCTCATCATCCTTTGTACAAACTATGCATTTATAATGAAACCAATAAATTTTATTTACAATGCCTAACGATGCAACAGTTAGATTTTCTTCATTACCAAAACATACATAATGAGTCTTGATGTGGCAATTAACAAAGATTGTTTTTCTGTTTCAGTCTTGGGACTTCAGTAAGAGAGAATGTTGAGAGGCTTAATTTTATTGATTGTATTAAAATTTATACTGATTGTGTGGAAAGGAGAAGGATAGATGAAGGGAAAAACTATGGAAGTAGGCTAGGGTAAGAATTAAAAACAGAAGTAAGAGAGAAAGAGAAGAGAAGAGAGCAGAAATGAGAAGAAGAGAAGAGAAGAAAAGAGAAGAGAGAGAGGAAAGAATAGTAAATAGGAAGAGATACAAAAAGGACAGAACACAGAAGTTGATAAGGCATATGAGGGGGAGAGCATTTGAGAGAAGATAAAGATAAAGAGAGAGAGAGAATGAGATAAGGGAACTCAAAGGGAGAGAGAGAGAGAAAAAGAAAGATAAAAATTAAGAAAAAAAGAGAAAGAACAGAAAAGAAGAAGAAAGGGAAAGAAAGTAATAGAAAAAAGAAAAAGAAAGTAAAAGAAAAAAGCAACAAAGAGGGAGAAAAAAAAGGAAGATTATTGAATTAATACCAACCCTATATACTGGTACTGAAAGTTTTGTTTTGTTCTTGTAGACTGATTAATTGGTAGAGCGGTAAGTTGATGTTGACTGCTAATGATATTGCTAACTTAAGAGACCCTAGTGGTGGTTCTCGCTCTCACTTTCCCTCTCCCTCTCCCTCTCTCTTCCCTCCCTCCTTCTCTCTCCCCTCCCTCCTCTCCCCCCCCCTCTCTCTCTGTCTCTGTCTGTCTGTCTGTCTGTCTGTCTGTCTGTCTCTCTCTCTCTCTCTCTCTCTCTCTCTCTCTCTCTCTCTCTCTCTCTCTCTCTCTCTCTCTCTCTCTCTCTCTCTCTCCCCCTCCCTCCCTCTCTCTCTCTCTCTCCCTCTCCCTCCCCCCCCTCCCCCCCCCCCCCCCCCCCCCCCTCTCTCTCTCTCTCTCTCTCTCTCTCTCTCTCTCTCTCTCTCTCTCTCTCTCTCTCTCTCTCTCTCTCTCTCTCTCTCACCCTCTCCCTCCCCCCCCCCCCCCCCCCTCTCTCTCTCTCTCTCCCTCCCTCCCTCCCTCCCTCCCTCCCTCTCTCTCTCTCTCTCTCTCTCTCTCTCTCTCTCTCTCTCTCTCTCTCTCTCTCTCTCTCTCTCTCCCCCCCCCCCCCCCCCCTCTCTCCCTCTCTTTTTCCTCCATCCCTCTCTCTCTTTTTCCTCCCTCCCTCCCTCTCTTTTTCCTCCCTCCCTCCCCCCCCCTCCCTCTCCCTTTCTTTTCCCTCCATAAGTAGGGAAAAATTGACTCCTGTCTGTGATCATGTTTTTTAACCTTTGTGTAAGAAAGTTCATGCATAAAGTATTATACAAGATTATGAATTGAGGTAAGTGTGACAGAAACTTTCTGAAGAATGTACTTATAAATAAGAAAATTTTTTATTTTGGTGTCAAATGATAACTAGGAAGGAAAAAAGATCAAGATAACACTCATCCATTTCTTGAAATATTTATTTAAAAATGCCCCCCCAAAAAAACTAATTACAACCTGAGTTTATTTATTAAGATTTCAGGGCATGCATGATATATGAACTTTTTTTTATACCAAAGAAACCGGTATTTTGTTAGGGATTTTATTTGATCTGTTGATCCAGGGAACATGCGGTGTCTACTGTTGTTCTATTTTATTTTATTTTATTAATTAATTATTATTATTATTTTTTTTTATATAGAAGGTATAGTAAAAAATGATTTAACTATCAGGCCTACATGACATCACTTGTTTACATCAATCCTTTTTGTGATTCTTTTCTATTCCTATTAATATTATTATTGTTAATGATATATATATATATCTTTTAAAACATCAGTATCATCATTGTTAACATTATAATTATTATTAATAATTAATAATAATAATAATAATTATTGTAACATTGATAATAATAATAATATTAAAAATAAAACCTTTTCCCCAAAATTCAAGGAATGTGGTAAATAAGGTAGGCCTAATAATAGACTTCTTGGTGACTTGTGTGCTTGGGAGCCATCTATTAAAAATCAAAACGGGAAGAAGGACTGAAAATCCAATTTTGATATATTTTATTTCCAGGGTTATAATGCTATTAAAATGTTGAACTTTATGACCTTATAATGACCTTTAGAAACCAAATTTAATTGGATTTTATTAAATCCTAAAATAAGGCTTAGAACTGTATGGTACCGTGTTACATTCTAGAGGGGTTGTATAAATATATGATAAAGGTAATCTTGCAAGTTAAATCAATATCATAATCAATCCTAGCAAGTGTAGTGTTACCTGGGAAGGCTCCAAAAGGTATAACCCTGATTATTTATGTTCAAGGTGATTTCTTAGTATGCATATAACATCCTAGGACATAAATGAGGCGGAGAAAGAAAAAAAGAACAAACAAAAAGAAAATCATTTCTATATTTACTTTATCTTGATGCCAAAATTAATATACTGTGACAAACTATATTAAAGGTAAAGAAAATTATTTTTCGTAGAACAAAGAGAGGTAGAAAAATGAAGAATAAGAAGTAAACGTACACTATATAATGTATCTTAGCTGTGATACCACTTTGTAAATCTACATTTTTTAAAATACATCTCTATGTACTGTAGGCCCTTAATATATACTGCTTTTCCATTTATATGTATCATAATTTGTAGGATTAGAATTAATATTTTTTTTCAGTCTATATGAATAATAAGATAAAATCTATAATAATAAATAAATAAGGAATGAAAATACCTTAAGAAAACGTTGCTTCAGAAAGACCGTATTTTTTTTTAAAGCCTACCACTCTTGTATCAAGCTCATGTCTGGTAACTGATGAGGGTATATAGGAATATCCAACTTCCCTTGTCCATGAGTAATAAATTTTTCCTCTCACCTGTCTGTCCTTCCTTTGTCTTTATGATTGAACCCTGTAAACGTCTTCGAAATAAAGTGACAACCATAGTTTATCCACAGACAAGCGACTGTAATATCTACATCTGCAACATGTCTGTATTTTAAACTTTTGTGGAGGTTTTGCTTGAGGAAAATAAATTTTTGAAAATTAAGGGCCCACAGTATTTCTCTTGCTTTCAATTAAGTAGCCTCTGTTATAATATACTATTAGTTTTTTTTATACACCTACTGTAGACTAGGTTTCATATTTCACAGGTTTGGGATATTTATTAAGTACTGTAAATCTATCATACACCACCAAAACTTACATATCTCAACAAAAATAAACTTTTTATAATGTGTAGTATTGTAAAAGGAGAAACAAGAACTAAAAGCTTGAACAAAACCAATTAGTTGTAGTATCAGATAATTTTGAAAAAATCATTATAGACTAGTTTTGGCCATTAAAAAGTCTTAACGCTACAATTTGTAATCAATGAAAAACAAGAATTTTAAGGTGGAGTACTAACAATAACAAGAAAGGCAATTAAATGAAAATAACTAACAAAAGTTATGATAATAAGAAGTAACAGCAGTATATAATAGTACTGCACATAATGATCATACTTACAACTTCTAAACCTCTCACAAGCCTTACATCTATCCTGAAAACTCTGATTTTCAAAATTAAAATACAAATAAGAATAGAAATATGTATGAGAGGTGCTTTAATTCATGAGAGTTATGATTTTATTATTAGAAGAATTGTGGTGTTAAACAGAGGCAGAAGTAAAGTATCCTTGATAGCACTGTAGGCCACAATATGCTTCTCAAGAAAGCATCATGTATTTTGTTTTCAAAATGGTCTATGATAAAAAAAAATGGCATCACCAGTTTAGTTACCACTATTCTGTTATGATTTTATTATTAGAAGAATTGTGGTGTTAAACAGAGGCAGAAGTAAAGTATCCTTGATAGCACTGTAGGCCACAATATGCTTCTCAAGAAAGCATCATGTATTTTGTTTTCAAAATGGTCTATGATAAAAAAAAATGGCATCACCAGTTTAGTTACCACTATTCTGTTATGATTTTTATACGATTTTTTTTCCATGAATGCTTATAGGTGTCTAACGACAGAAGAAAAGAAAAGCAAGAGTTATTCAGAACCAATGAAAAGCAAACAAAAATGTCCTATAACTTACTAGTACACATCCTGTAAACCAAATATCCACTCACAACAATGGTATAGACTCTTCCATATATAACAAGGCTTAATTTTGAAAAAATCATTATAGACTAGTTTTGGCCATTAAAAAGTCTTAACGCTACAATTTGTAATCAATGAAAAACAAGAATTTTAAGGTGGAGTACTAACAATAACAAGAAAGGCAATTAAATGAAAATAACTAACAAAAGTTATGATAATAAGAAGTAACAGCAGTATATAATAGTACTGCACATAATGATGATAATTACAATGATGATAATAACACCAACCATGAATATGAAAATGAACTCTAATTAAAATTAGGAAGGAAAAAAAGAAAAAGTGATAAGACTCACTCTGCCATAATTTCTCTTAGCATTTATTCAAACTCTCCCAAAGAACTGAATACAGATCATGTTGCCTTTTAGTTAAAGCATATGGGAAAAAAAAACATAACTGCATTCTCTAATAGCATTCCATTTGTTCTTGTCATTATACAACAGTTTGAAATTTATCATGTTAGTAATGGTAAGCAAAAGTAACAATTATCATATTACTAAATTAATATCTTAATTACAATTATTGTCATTATTAATTATGACAACATTTGTGATAATGACCATTAACAGTGACTATGATAATAAATAAATAAAAATCATAATAACAAACAATAATGTGAATGCTAATACAATGATCATATAATCATGGGCCTTGTTACTAAGCACCAATGAACAGTAAAGACACCATCTAACATCTTGCACTGGCTCTTATTTTGGTACTTTGTCCAATATTACTTGACTCTTAGTTAATCTGAAATTTATTGAAAAGGCAACATTTTGAATAAAAAATAATAATGACAATTATGGAAAAAAAAATCATGCAACATGGAAAAATAAAAATACAAGAACAAAAGTTACTTAGCCCAGTTAATGTAGTTGCTAAAATGCTGATTATGATCATGAGGGTGATGATAAGTACAATGGAAGAGGGCAGGGAAAAAATAAATGCATAAAATAATATGGCTATAATATATATTGACTGAATAATTAAAAGTTAAAGTCCACTTTTCCACACACACACAAATTCACATACACAGACAAACCCATGCTCATTAAAATCTGATGATCTATTCCCCTGTCAGCTAATCTTTCTGTGCTGCACTTTTGAAAACTAACATTCCATTCAAATACTCTATGGTAATGAAAGTCATAATAATTATAGTACCATTTCCAGTCATTACCTAAATGTGTGTATTGCCAATGATATATGATATTAAATTAACATAAGTTATTAAAAAGTTTTGGACTTTTAAAGTTTGTATAATATATTTTTCATTTTGTAACAGAAGTACTAATTCCATCTACATTTACACTTAATCAGTAGTTTATATGTTAACCTTGTAGATTTAAAAAACTCCAAAACACATCTATAAATACATGAACAAATAGTGGGAAAAAAAAGGAGAAAAAGAAAGAGAAAAAAAATCTGTACTTGTTCCACTTGTTTCCCTCCAGCCCTTGCACTCAGCTGCGGAGAGCTTCAAGGCGGGTCCTCATCTCTTCCATGTCCTCCTCAGCCTCCTCTTCTGAGTCCTGAGGAAGGGCTTCGGCTCCTGTGGGTTCTGATGGCAGTGCATCGCTCACTGTCGCTGGGGCCTTGCCAAGTTCACCTGCTGTTATCTCCCACAGGACCTGGAATGCATTTTCAGAGTGGATAAGAGTGGTCTTTTTTGCCTGATTTGTGATGTGCACTGTAAAATTTTAGTAGTTGCAAATGTTACAGGTAATTTTCTCTCTCTCTCTCTCTCTCTCTCTCTCTCTCTCTCTCTCTCTCTCTCTCTCTCTCTCTCTCTCTCTCTCTCTCTCTCTCTCTCTCTCTCTCTCTCTCTCCCTCTCTCTCTCTCTCACGCACATGCACACACACAATTCTTCAACTCC